TATCATTCAAGTGAAATGTAAATATCTTAACCACCTCCAAAATTGCTTTACCCTCTTAACTCTATGATCTAGTTATCGTTAATACCTCTACATACATTGAGAACACTACAACTTTTGCTTCTGTCAAAAATAATTTTAAAACTTCAAAAAAGAATAGTTTACTGCATTTACCATTTTTAAAAATTAAATCGTAGTTACGTACATTAATACTATCATGGGGTACAGTGTGTTGTTTCTATATATAATTAGAAATACTTTCATCCATCTGGTTAACATAGCCTTCATGTCATTTTCTTAGTTATTGTGTTAAGACATTTATATTCTACATTTAGAAAGATTCACATGTACCCTTATAGGATGAACCATCGGCATGATCCCACCAATCACCCTCCCTCCCCTTGCCCTCCCCCCTCCCCTTTCCCAGTATTCTTGGGCTAAAATTGGGTTATAACTTTCCTATGAAAGTATAAATTAGTATCATAATAGGGTTGAGTACATTTACCATTTCTATTGTTCCTTCTTCATTCCTGTTGTCACAAATTTCCTTTCAGTATCATTTCCTTTTCTCTGAATAACTTTTCAAATGAGATCTATTCAATTATCTTTTGGTTCTGTGTTTTTTTCTGGTTCTGGTTCTGTGTTGTCTCCATTTGGTTTTTGTATGTTGATCATGTATCTGACAATCTTGCTAAACTCACTTGTTCTCGGGGCATTTTTGTAGATTCTTTCCAATTTTATGTAGACCATTATCTTTGAATAATAAATTTTATTTCTTCCTTTCCAGTCTGGATTCTTTTTATTTATTTTTCTTGCCTGATTTCACTGAGTAGAACATCTAGTATAATGCTGAATAGAATTAGTGAGAACAGATTTCTTTATCCTGATCACTATTTTAGGGAAAAAAATCATGTTTTACCATTAAATATGATTTTAGCTGTGGGTTTTTTTTTTTTTTTTTGACGCCATTTATCATGTTGAAGAAGTTTCCTTCTATTCCTACTTTACTGAAAGTTTTTATTAAGAACAGATACTGGATTATTAAATGTATTTTCTTTGCCCTTTGATAACTGTTTGTTTTTCCTTTTTGAATTTCTTAATGTGGTGAATTAACACTCACTGATTTTTTAATGTTAAGTGAGCCTTGCAATTGGAATAAATCTCACTTAGTCATGAAGTATTATCTTTGTCTACACTGTGCATTACTGGATTCAATTTATTAACCTCTTGTTAAGATGCTTTATATCTTCATGAGGGATACTGGGCTGCAGTTTTTGTTTTAATGTTTTTATCTTGTTTTGATGTGAGGGTCATGGTGGTCTCAGCAATTTTCTGGAAGAAAATGTAGAATTGGTATGTTTTTTCTTAAATGTTTGATCAGTTCATCTAAAAGGTTAGTTGGGCCTTTGTGGAAAGGCTTTTAATTATAAATTCAAATTCTTTAATAGATACCGTTATTATATTGGTTATCTTTGTCATCTTGAGTATGGTTTGGTTGTTTGTATTTTTTTAAGGAACTTGTTTATTTTATTTCAGTAGTCAAGTTGTTTGGCCTTTGTTCACAGTATTCCCTGATTATCATTGTAATGTGTTTATAATTTCTGATGTTGGAAATTTGTGACCTTTGCGGGGCTAGTGGCTTATAAATTTTAATGATCCTCTCAAGAAACCAGTTTTGGTTTTTATTGCTTTTCCCTCCCATATTTATGTGTGTTATTTTCTTTCATTGCTTTATTCTCTGATCATCCTCATTTCCTTTTTTTTAATAAAAGATTTTAATTTATAAATTAAATAAATAAATTACATTTAATTTATATTTAATTAATCATATAAATAAATTACATTTAATTTATTCTTTGTCTAGTTTCTCAAGGTACAAGCTTAAGTTGATTTAAGACCTTTCTTTTTCTACATATGCTTTTAGTGCTACAAATTTCCCTCCAAGTACTGTTAGCTGCATCACACACATTTTGATATGTTTTGTTTTATTTTTTGATAGAAAAATATTTCTGATCTGCTTTTTGGTATCTTCTTAGATACATGGGTATTTCAAAAGTGTGATATTTAGCTTACAAATATTTGGAGATTATCCAGAGATCTTTCTGTTAAATTTCTTTCTTTTTTTTTTTTTTTTT